TTTTTGTGAGGACCAAATAAAATATTTATAAAACACTTAGTACAGTACCTGGCATGTTGTGTATTACATAAATGCTAGCTATTACAGGTCATTCTGATAAGTCCTTTATAGTAGTCTGGGGAATCTTGGAAAGATGGCAGAGTGAGAGGTTTCCTATAAGAGACTCTTCTCTCACCATGCCAAATAATATAAGTAAAGGGGTCCAAAATTCAAAAAACTCACCAATGGCAAGACCTGAACTGAAAGAACCTACTATATGATAATTCTTTACATTGTTTAACTAATTGTTTAATTGCTTTTAATTTTTTTTAATTATTTTAAACCAAATATACAGAAAGTAGAACAGAAAAAGGGAATTGTATATGGAATGTATAAGAACTCTTTAAAACATGGGTACTGAACTTCAAAAGAGACTACAAAAAAATCTAAGAAGTTGGTCACTCAGAAAAACATCCTGAAAAAAAAATCTTACTCTAAGAAATCATATAGAATAATTTTCCAGAAATACTTTAAGCAAACAGCAAAACTCCTATTAAGAGAATCCATAGAGCACCAACATAAATAAACCCCAAGTTCATTTCATCAGGAAACATAAGTCAAATGTCAAAACTACAATATCAAAATTTTGCCAGTACTAAGAAAAAAGTATTTCACATTAAAAAAAATTCTGAATGGTTTCAGAATAACACATCATTGACCCATGGTTACAATTAAACAAGGAAAAATGGAATGATGTTCAAAGAGTAAAGAATAAAGATTATCAAAAATAAATATATGTATTTTATATGTATATATGTGTGTTATTTGTATATGCATAAATGTGCATATATATGTGTGTGTATATAACACACATCTGCAAAGCTGAAACTAAGCATCAAAGGAAATAATTGGATGTTCAGTAAAAGGGAAGAATTCTAATCATTCATCTAGTAGAACCCAGAGTTGAACAGAGTATTCCACATCCAAACTGATTGAACGACAAAAAGTTAAATACTTTCAGATAGTACTCAAATACTAAGAAATGCAATATTTGTTTTCTGGTGACTAGGGTGAGACAAAGATACGAATGTGGAATCGGCATACATTTGTTTGTTTGATTTTCCTTCCTTTTTAAAGCACAAATTCTCTGAGTGACAGTGAGAAAGCATGAAGAAAATTAGCTGTATAAAGCACTGGTGTCAAACTCAAACGAATACAGAGGGCCACAGAAGTCACGAAACCATATATTAAAGATCCCTGAGGGTCACAGGTTGACTTAGAAAATCACATATTAATATTATCTGCTTTACTGCATTTTTATTTACTTTGTTTAACATTTCCCAATTACATTTTAATCTGGTTTGGGCTGCACTCAAGAGTGTTGTGGGCCATATACAGAGTATAGCCATATGTTTGACATAAAAGATAAAACCGAAAAAAATTGAAAGCAGAAGAGATCCAATAACTCATTTGGAGGAACAAGAGATTTAGATTATCTGGAAAAAATAATTTTTACAAGTTGGAATTAATAGGGCAGTAGCGCTTTTAGACCTCAAACTATATTGTAAAGCAATATCATCAAAACTATTTGGTACAGGTTAAAAAATAGAAAGGCAAATCAATGGGATAGACTAGAAAAGGAAGAATCAGAAATAGCTGAACTCAATAACTCAGTGTTTGATAAACATTACTTGTCGTGGAAGAAACTCCCTATTTGACAAGAATTACTAGGAAAATTGGAAGTCTGGAAGAAATTAAGTTTAGCCCAATATCTTTTATCATACCTTCCCTCATTTTCTGTTCCTTTTGTAACAAATCTGAGTTTCTTTACACATTTTGTAAACACAATGTGTTTCTTTACACGTTGATTTTAATAAGTTTTTATTGAACCAAATTTCTTTTCCTACTCCTCTTAGGAATCAAGCTGTTATAGGGAAAAGGAAATACTTTACATTCCTTATCAGTGGATTTAATTTTTTTTCTTTTCTTATACAAAAATACTCTTGCCTTTTTCATCATCAATTTCTATATACACAAAAGGGAAGTTAAAGTAGTGGTGTCAACGGAAGTTGAAAAAGATCCCCGTGGGGTTGCATATCGAATTAGAAAACTACAAATTAACATTATCTATATTGTATTGTATTTGTATTTATTTTGTTAAATATTTCCCAATTCTTGGGAATTTTGACATCTCTGCCTTACAGGGACAATAGCTTTCACAAATATAGGATAAAGTTGATTACCAAAAAAAAAAAGTAGAAATAATTTTTAAAAAATTTTTAAGTAAAAACAAAAAATAACTGCAATTATATGAAATTAAAAAAGCATTTGCATGAACAAAATTAACAGGATAAAAGTATTTGACAGAAAAAATCTTTGCATCAAATAACCATAATAATAATCTTATAACCAAGCTAAATAGACAAAATATAAATAAATATATAAATATATGTATTTACATGTATTATATTATATATTTATATATTATATGTTTATATTATATTTTTCTGTATTATTATATATTATATATTTGCATGTGTGAATAGATAAATAGAAATACATAAAACCAAAAGTCATTTCATAATACAGTCCTCAAAAGAATTGAAAACTATCAAATACTATATGAAAGACTGCTCCAAATCACAAATCATAAAATAAATGCTTATACAGGAAAAAGCAACAGTGAAAGGGGTGGGGGGCAGTAAGGGAGTGAGTGGAACCTCAAGAGAAGTGAACAAAAGTCTTTTAGTTTCTTGCTGTTATAGTTTATGTGGTAAACGATTAAGGACAGAACATTGTGGGATAGGTCATAAAGGGAGGAAAGGAGTGTCTACCCCAAGAAACTAATTCACATTTATTTATATTTATATAAATATTTATATTTTGTATATCCTTATTATGCACATGTTTTGTACTGGGGAACATGTTGTCTCTTCTAATATAATGTAAGCTCTTTGAAGTCAAGGACATCGTTCATTTTTATCTTTGTATTCCTAGGTCCCAGCAAAGTACCCAGAACAGTGATTGATACATTTTTCTTACTGCTACATCAAAGGAATCTAGCCTTGATTGATGTATTGCCATTTAGACTAAAGTCACTTTATGGCATTTCAAACTTACGAAACAGACAAACTAAAGCATTAATTCACTTTGAAAAATGTAAAGGTTCAACTTAAAGAAACTTGCAAGCTAAAGTAGTATTAGACAGAAGCACCAATGGCAGGCTGTAATATTTTAGACTGATTCTCTTAGATGTAAGTATTTAGATGAAAAAAAGATGAAGGTGAGTTTCTGGAGTTACAAGTGTGGAATTAAGCAGTCTTCAAGTATAAGAGAAATCCCAGTAGTCTCACGTAGGAAGGTAAGCACTGAGAGTGGAACATAGGACAATCTGAATCCTAAAAAAGGGAAAATGCTGGAGTTATTAAGGTTCTCTGAAAGTGTTCCTAGTACTAAGCTGGCAAAGTCCTTCCTGTCTCATTACTCCAGCTTTCAAGTAGATTTACTAGAGATTTCTTTTCTATGAGGACACATCTCTAGTTTGTGAAGACAAGACAAATCTTGTGTGCAAACAAGTTTATGAGGAGAATTGCTTTTGTTTTACAAAAATTCCTATTTATAGTTAACAATCCTGGAATATATTAATTCTATATAACAACAGATACCTATGCAGTATTACTGAATTAAGTCTTTGCTCTTTGAAGGCAGCTAGAAATGGAATGCTTACCTTTCTGGTTAGGTAACTAGACTTCCTAGTTTATCTGGGTAGATTCCATTTTTGATAAATTTTACCCAGTGGGCATTTGCCCTCAGAGATGTCTCAGGCAAGTTCTGCCCCAGACTCATTGGCTTTCAAAGTAGTTGTAGAAAAACCTTGAAGTACTTTCAGTTTCCTTGGGAATTACCAACTTTGAACTCTATAACAGCACTTTGGACTCTAAAAATCTTGTCAAGCATGACGTTAGCTATGGAAAAAAAGAAACCAAGATCAAAATTCAAATATGCTTTAGAGATCATGTAAGATATGACGTTAAAGGAATGTGCTCAGCCAGAATTTCAGTGCCTCTCTCTAACCACCATAACTAACAACTCAGGCTGGACTTAGTCCCACTCTGCTCCTTTTAACTGGCTTTCACCTAGAAAATGGCAAAATATTAGCTTGGGTTGAATAACCTCAGGCTAAGGCTTAGCTCTCTGCCAAATAAAAAAAAAAAAAAAGATTTCTGATGATCAGGGCCCAGTTAGAGTGAGTCTCCTGAGTTTCTTTGTAAGGGTCCCTATTATGTCTAGGGTAAAATACAAACTTCTCTGCCTGACATTTACAGTTCTTCAGAAGCTGGCCCCAAGCTACCTTTCCAACCTTTTCATGTTTTTCCCATTCTCTATGGTCTAGCCAAAGTGACAATCTTTCTTCACTCACACAGGACAGTTCATCTCCCTTTCCATGATACTGCACAGACTGTCCATTTCCCATGCCTTAAATGCACTCCACCTCACCTCTTAGTATCTCTAGTTTTTTTCAAAGTTCAGCTCAGGTGTAACATTCTACATATGGCTTTCCTGATCCCCCTGCTGCTATCTACTGGCTCTTATCCCAAATTATTTTGTACTTGTATACTTGCTTTGTATATATGTTGTGTATCCTTTTATATGTACATCTATGTTATCTTCCCCAGTTGAATGTCAGTTACCCAGCACCTAGTCCAGTGACTGGAACATACTAGATGTTTAATAAATGCCTAATCGACTGATCCTTTTTAGCTCTAAGAGCCCCAAAACTCTTCTATAATTAATTGTCCTCTCCGGCACCCCTACTACGCCTGCTCTACAAATTCAAATCACTCCACCAGCCCCCGGTTTCAAGCGCGCCTGCGCAGGGAGGCCAGTCAGTCACTAACAGCACGCCCCGCCCCCTTCCAACCCCCACGTTCCCGCTGGTGACAGGGGCGGGGCTTTGATTTGGGCGTTGGAGAAGAGAAGGGGAAGAGGAAGCCGGGGGCGGGTCACTGGAGGGAGCGTGAACCGGAAGTGGAAGGCGCTTCTCCCTTTCCAGGCAGTTTCCGTTTGGTGCGGCCCCCGGCTCCCAGAGAACTTTCCTTCTCCCGGCTACGGAGACTGCTGCGTCCGACCGCCTTGGCCAGCAGCCCTCCTGTGCCGCCCTCCGTCCGGGCTTCCCGCGGCCGCTCCCCGCCCGCCGCCGCTGCCTTCGCTCCTCGCCCTCCTTCCTTCAGTCCCGCCCGCCGTCTTCTTTCCCGTTCTCCATCCGGCCGGCCCCGCCGCAGTGATGTGCGACAAGGAGTTCATGTGGGCTTTGAAAAATGGAGACCTGGATGAGGTGAAAGACTATGTGGCCAAGGTAAGCGTGGGCCGGGGGAGTGGGAACGACAGGGAGCCGGGGTCGAGGCTCCAGGTACCCGGGCAGGGGCAGCGGAATGGCCGGCGGCCAGCATGGGGGAGGCTTCCCTGCCAGCGTCCACGACGGGGAGGGTCCTGGAGGATCACCGGGAGGGACCAGGGCAGGTCAAGAGCTTTAGTCCTCCTTAGAGGACAGACCGAGTGCTGCTCGCGCGGGTCAGTCTATCAAATTACTATATTCTCCTTGTCTCTCAAGTTTACTTACCTGGATTCTAACCCCATCCAGCAATCCCAGACTCAAGGAAGGCTGGTTAGCTCTAAGTCACTCTTCTAGACCTCCAGGAGTAGCTCCTTGGGTTAGGCCGTCGTCCCGGTATTTCTTACTTAAAGACCTCTGTGATTAGTATTAAATCTGTGTTGGACCAACCCTCAGTGAATAGTCACCCAAGTGGTATTGACCAGTGGAACCTTTACTTTAAAAATGTTGGGCCTGACATTGCTTGTACGTATCCATAGAAAATGGGAGTTTTTTTAAATGTCAATTCTGAAATCAAAAATCTGAAACTTAAGTATCACTTTAAGAAGACTTAATTTTGGGTGTGGCTCTTTTCCTCTCCCCTGCCACAACACAAATATACTTTTGTTTCAAGTGGTAAGATTGTCAGCTGGCATGTGTTTAAGATATCTTAGCAATTTTTTGTATGAGCATGTTGACTTCAGTCCAGCCTTCTGGCTGATAGCATCTAAAATCCTTAATTATCCAATATATAATGTTGTTGTTCAGTCATAGTATATTTTGTGTGAAGGGAAAATCAATTTACAACCAAAAGCACATGTATAAAAATTGAATCTGTATCCTTCCAAAGAGAAGTATTTAAGTATCTCAGTTTTCAGGCGGGACTGCCTTTGTTGACCCCAGTGCCCCTTTTTTTTAATCGAACAAGTTACTGTTTTTATGGATATAACAATTTTAATAACGTTATTTTACTCTTCCTTTAGTTGCTTAAAAGAACTGCAATGCTAAAAACAATTCTTAAAGGAAATCATAAATTCACAACAGATACAAACATAAGGCCCGTACATAGTCTTGCTCCCCTGTTGAACTCAATAGTTGACTTTGTCTAAGAAAAATGAGCATTTGTTTTACCACTATTTTTTCTCTCAGGTCAGTTGCATATTAGTAAGCAACAAACAAGTAGAATTGTTGTTTCTTAATGCTTAAAATACCTAAGACTTTGTGGACAGCTAATAGTTTTTTCTACTCTTCTATTCAGCTCTGCATTATTTAGGCCTTTGTTATTCACTCTGTCAGTTACTTGCAGTAGATCATGATACAGTGTTGTGCCATCTCTCCTGGTGGCATTCTGAAGCCAGATTCCATAAATTTGTCAATATAAGTTGAGTAATAAATAAGTACATATAAGTCCCTGGCATTATACTGAAGGGGTTGGACTAGATTGCTGAGATCCCTGACTTATGACTATGGCCCTATGAATGATACAATCCTAGATTTAAAGTTGAAAAGGAACATAGTCAACTAGTCCAACCTCCTCATTTTACATATGTGAAAACTGAGGCCTGTAAAGGTTAAATAAATTTGACCCAAGGTCGCTTAAGTAGTTGTAGAAAAGCAACCATTCCATCTCAGATCTTTTGAGTTCCAAATCCAGTATTCTTTCCACTGCGTCTAGTTGACTTCACAAACTAAGCCTAAAGTTGGAACACTCCATAAAACCAAGGAATCCACTAGTATTTTCGAAAAGTTTAAGTACATCAAATATGAACACAAATTTCTTGATTATGCTTTTATGTTTAAATAGGTATCTTTTATAAGTTCAAATATTGTTTTCATCCCTTGATTTGCGTATGGGGGTATATTCTGTCCATTTTCATTACTCTGTCATTCAGATATATGTAGCAGGGAGACGAAACAGGAGATAAGAAGGATTGACAGTTTGCCTTAAAAGGTTTGATTATAATAATACCTTATAAGCAGAACATTTAGTTTTTCCCTTTCTTAGATTTCTAAATGTGACTTGGCCTCTGTGTTCAGCAGTGAAAAGTAGCCAAAAGCTAGCATTTGCCGATCACTCCTTTTTTTCTCAACTTCTTTTCTTAGTGTCTCCCACTGAAGTTCTCTTTCCCATTTATTCACTCACTGAACAAACTATTCAAGTATATTAATAAGGTTTTTATTTATAAGGTATATATGTGTCAAAAGGTATAGGAGAAGAGTGTATGATATTTTGGCTTTTGTACTGAGGCATGAAAACTAATTAAAAAAATTGTCCTCCTCTACCCTATTCTATTTTGAAAATCTGTTGTTCACATGCAAAGACAATCCTTTTAGTAGACCATTCCCTCTTTAAATTTGTGTTTAGGAATTTGTGGCTTCCCTCAGCCAATTGTGCCTCCCTTTCTTGCCTTACCTCAATCTACTTCTGATTTCTCCTCAGCAAAATTGAAAAATTATGGGGAAGTTAAGGGAAGAATGGTTCAGGTCCCACTTCTGGACCTATGAAAAGTTAGTTAAGAGAATTCCCAGATCCATGGGAACCTATCATGAATGGATTGAGTGTATGTCAGAGGAGAGTAGTAATAGCTTTATATATATCCAAGTTAAACATTGAAGTGTGACTTAAAAATTTGTTAAAAGCCATGTTTAAATATTTAAGCCTCAAGCTAGCAATGTCATAGTGGTTAGAGAGAGCAGGCCTCAAGTCAGGAAAACCTGGATTCAGGTCCTCCTTCTGACACATACGGGCTATGTGACCATAGACAAGTTATTTAAGGTCTCAGTGCACTAAGCACCTTTTAAGTCTCTAAGGTGCAGGACGGTAGTTGGTCTACACCCGCATTCAGTGTAATACCAGTGAAGACCCAGGTCCATAATGAAAAACAAACAAACATTTAACTTCTGAACATGCACTTTTATGGTTGAGTGTCCGCTGTGTCCTAAACACTTGACAGGGCAACATAGAGAGAATGTAAAAGAAACAGAAGGCACAGTACCAGATCTAGAGGGACTCCAGCCATTTTTCAGTCTCTGACACTTTGTTGCATCTTTCTCACTTCTCTGTTCACGTACTCGTTTTCTTTTTCACCTGACAGTCCGTGTACTATCTCTAATATTGCATTGTATATCTGGATGATTAGGGATATGTCATTATACATGCATAAAATACTCTAAGAGACTTATAAATTAACATACAAATGATAGTAAATCAGCACTTAATCAACAATTAGAGGTTCCTTACCAGCAGTAGCCTCAATTATGTAGAGCACAACCAAGATTTTCCATGTTTTCATGTAGCCGTAATACATTTCATAAAATCTCATTAATCTCACGTACTAATGTTTATATAGATTAATCCCTAAGGTCCTCACCCTGACACTATTTAAATGAAATTTGTAAAATGATGTAATATTTGTAAAGCATTTTGCAAACCTTAAACTGTTATATAAATGCTAGCTATTATTATTGTTTACTTTATACGTTACTCTAACATCTTTTAAACCTGTAGCAAGTTTAAAGGGACTATGAAGAATGAGGTAGGCATGAACTTACAAAAGTGTATCGTGTATAGCCTGATAGAAAGGTGGCAAAAGGGCTATTTGGTGTATGGAGTAAGTAACTCTTTAAGCAATAACCTCAAAAGCCAGCATCATAGAAGATGTAAAGAAGCCTTATGTTTCTATGTGACTTGTGAAGTTGATCTCATTTTGTCATACCTCATCATTAACAAGATAATTGATCTTCATGATAATCATGGATGACAAACAGTATGATTATGTTCATTTTACTCAAAAGGCAACAAAATATAGTACAAATTTTAGAGATTTCTATCCAAAATTTTTAAAGTAAGTTGCAGCACTTAACAGGTCAAGAAAACAGTAAGGCATTGTTGTATTAAAAAACAGTGCATAAGTACTGAAAGGATGAAAAGTAAAAGTATCAGGGTAGGATTGGGCCTAATCCAGGAAAGCTACTTGGAGGAGATGCCCCTCATTGTACCTTAACCAGATTTTAAAGTAGTTTGACAGTAACATCGCTTAAATGCCTACTGTGTGTAAAGCATAAAAACTTTGCCAGGTTTTGATGATATAGTTCACTGAAGGTGAATACCATTGAAATAGCAGGACAAGTAGGTCTGCATGAGGTCTGATATGTGCCCTGTGTTGTTTACATGTACTTCTGTTTCACTTTCTGTGAAATACTATACATCAGGTCTCTAACTTCCCTTTCTCTGTGGTTTCCTTTCCCTCCATCCCCCATTCTGACTGTGCCTGCCCTCTACACTTTAGTGGAGCCTCAGGTTTTAAAAGGCAACAATTGTATGAGAGAAAATAGGATCACTTGGCCCTGAGAAAGAAAAAACTTGACTAAGAATTGTCTGTTTTCTTTAGAAACTTAAAAACTTTTTGGACTCGCTTTTCATGTTGTTTCCTAAACAGTATCCAGATTAAAACAGACCACAATTCCATCTGCTTTGTATTTATTGTGTTCAAGAAATTACCTTGTCTTGAAATTAAAATATACTTTCCTTACATTAGAGAATATGAATATGTTACTTTGTTTTCTCTATAGCAGTAGTGGAACCCTAATCATTCAAATGATTAGATCACACTATATTAATAAGTGCTTTAAGTAGATATAAAATACTTACTAATGTAAACTTTCATAAGGAGATTTATCTCTTATTAGTGTAACTGCCTAGTAATTGGTTTTGGGAAAACACAACTTTAGTTTAGCCAGTGTTACAAGAGGTAATTCCACAGGAATAACATCATAAATGGGCATTGGGCCAAACAGTACCATGGAGTTTTATGACTATACAGACGGTTTGGTTATAGTGAAACCATCTCTGTTGGGACAACCTTATGTTTAAACTTATGAAGGCACAGGCTGTTTCAGTGCCTTATACGAGCTTACTTTATAAATTGACAGTATTGGTCAAATGTACAGGTACAGGATCTGGGGTGGCATACATAAGTAATACA